TATTTTTGTCAATGTTTTCGTGTACGACAATCGTAAATATGATTTTGTTAGAGTTACGTTAGTTTGATTTAGTTAAAAAATGCAACCAATTTAAGCAGTACGACTGCTTATTTTATTTCTGATCAAATATACTCATTTCTTTTGAAAATAATAAACAATTTACGTGTTTCTGGAGTGTTTCTATGCTTTTATAATGAAATGTTTACCTGGAACTCATTTTTCATGCCAACTTTTGAGTGCCTATTGCGGCTCAACCATTCGAAATATCGATATAATTTATTAGACAAAGTATGCTTAAAAGTGTCTTAAGGGATTTATTTTTCGAAATTTCGACATTTCCTCCACGGACACTTGTATACCGCGACGGGTAGTGGCCTTACCCAGAAAGAACATCGGACACGAAGAACTGCGACCAAACTTTTATTTGTATTTATTTTTTTATTATTTAACTTATTTATTTTAGTATATTACATTTTACGTTCTGCGCGAGGTTTCAAAAACGAGACCACTGATTTTTTAACATATGAAAATATTTTTTACACAGTGTAAAGCGTGGTTGACGCCACGATTAGCTAGTACATGTAGATGCACATCTTTTGCTTGTTTTATTACAGCAAATTCTGGTCTCTCTTTATGAATATTTATTTTGCATTTTGAGTCCAATCTCATATTATTTATTTGAGGAAATGCTATATCAGGTGCTCCTACTATTAATGGTATCAATCAATTTCCAAATCCTCCCATTATAATTGGTATTGCAATGAAGAATATTATAACGAATGCATGCACTGAAACTAAATATATGTTTGATCATGTCCAATTAGATATCCTGGCTGTCCTAGTTTAAAAGAACTTAAAGGGAAAGTTACAACTATTTTTGCCCCTTCACATTTATTTACTACAGGAACTAAGACAAATTTAAAGGAAAGTTACAACTACTTTTGCCCCTCCCTATTTATTTACTACAGGAACTGAGACAATTCGAAAGGAAACCTACATTTTTTTGCTCTACTCTATTTCTTTGTTACAGAAACAGACAATTTTAAAGGAACGTGACAATTCTGGTTTTGCCCCTTCCTATTTATCTGCGTGCCAATCCGGGTAGCTGAGATCGCTAAGGCAGTTGTGTCGTGGGGATCTCGAATCGAAGGATCGCGAATTCGAATCCCGCCTCGAGCGTGGATGATCGTCTTTTTTACCCCTCATCATCATCATCATTCCATCACTTCATTACATAAGTATTAATAATTTCCTGCTCAAGCAGGAGGCCCTTGCTTAATCTTGATGCCAGACTAAATTGGAAATGTCACACAACAGTAAAAGCACAACAAGCCAAAATAAAACAAATTCAACTGAAGCCACTCTTAAATCGCAATAGTAGGTTCTCATTAAACAATGACATCACCATCTATAAATCAATAATTATACCCCTGATGCAATAACCATACCCTATCTGGAACAACGCCTCTAAAACTAACATTAATAAATTACAGATCATCCAAAATCATATCCTCAGACTTGCCCCTCATGCACCCTGGTTCATCTCAAACATTCAACTGCACAAAGAATTGAATTTACCTCCTATAGTTTACCCTATTGCGCTCCTATCTATCAATTTCTTCTCCAAAATAAACACAATAACCCAAGCCACCCATTACGACCTAGTCAGCAGCTAGCCGCTTCCAACCAGGATTAAAAATAGATACCCATTAGATTCATTCCCCAGCATATTTTCAGAACTCAGAACATAGGTGCTCTGTGAGTTTCCTATTCATGAGTAGTTAGGTTTAGTAGTACGATTAAAATTTAAGTTAAGTGTATGTCAGGAAATACACATAATGTAGTATTAATGATACTGACCTATGTGCATTCGTTCATTACTATATGCATATATACACATATATACACATATATACACATACATACATCTATACATCTATACATCTATACATCTATACATCTATACATCTATACATCTATACATCTATACATATATACATATATACATATACACATATATACACATATATACACATATATACACATATATACATATATACATATATACACATATATACATATATACACACATACATATACACATAGGGATGTGTAGTTGGCTGACGAAGTCAATGTGTGTGCGCAGGGGGCTGGACGAGCAGTCGGGCGCGCAGTGCGTGGAGGCGCTGCGTGCGCTGGCGCGCGGCGGCCGCACCGTCGTCTGCTCCATCCACACGCCGTCCGCGCGCCTCTTCGCCATGTTCGACCACGTGTACGTGGTGGCCGCCGGCGCATGCGTCTACCGCGGCAGCGTGCCGCACCTCGTGCCCTACCTCTCGCACGTGGGGCTGCCCTGCCCCACGCACTACAACCCCGCCGACTACGGTGAGTGCGTGAAAGAAGGGGGCGGCTCGCGGAGGAGGACGGTGGTGGGTGAATGCAAGCGGGGGGGGGGGGGGGGGGGGGGGGGGGGGAAGCGGATTTTTGATGCTAAACATTGCAATATTTATATAATGTGCTTTTTAAAGCCTAAAAACAAAGGAAAATGACGTAAATGTTTTTAATAGTACCACTATCAGACGGGAGTTGGATGTTGGTTATGTTGCTGTAGTAATGAAGGTTTTTTTTCTTTTATTCAAAGTGAACTAGCTCGCACAATTTTGGGTTTGGACTGTTCTTTACAGGGAATCTCTGTTTTATGTGTGTTTTCTCAGAAACGGCCAATACGCGCATAGTAGTACATAGTACTCACAACGGCTTCATTACAATATATGGGTGAAGAAATAAATAGGCACTCATGGAATTCTGTGAGAACATTTGTTGCGCTGTAAATATTGTTTGAAGTAAGTACTATTAAAGTGATATTAAAATCGATGAAATGGCGAAAAATTCATTATAATGTCGTAAAACGGTACAAATGACTTTTTAGTCGATTCGGCGTAAAAATGCAAAATTGACTACAAAAATGGTTCATTTCCGTTTGCCATAATATACAAATTAATCTTCTATACTTAATGGCATTGTCCTAAAGTGAAAAGGAAAACATGATATTTCATTTAAATCCGCTTCCTATGATGCTGATTACTAGGAAGCGAATTTATATGTTCGAAATGATTCATTAAATATATGTATGTTTTTTGTAGCATTTAAGAGTGGATTAAAAGAGAATTTACAGCTAGCGGTTTTCACATCTGAGAGCTGTTTTTATCCTTTATCCACGCTGGGGATAAGACAAACATGAGACAAGATCAATATTCCCATCATCGATCTAAGACATCTAAATAAACTGAACGATTGTATTAGACGTTATTATCATTTCTAATTTTCCCGCCGGGATCGAACCCGCAATCGACATGAAAAGTTTTCCATCGAGGGCATAATTGTTTAAAATCTAAATTTTTTTTTGTGCCTCTGAAGCAAGTATTATGAAAGTGATATTAAATGATGAAATTCTGCAAAACAATGCATTAAAATGGCGTGAAAATAGTAAAAAATGACTTATTAGTGATATGGCGAAAATTCAATTCATATAATTCTTTCATGAGTAAATTAAGAATATTTGCATAAGGTACAAAGAAAAAACAAATAAACATTCATATCGTAAAAGGGAATTATCTTTCAGCCAGCCCCACCCGTTGCTATAATTTGTGGAGGGTATCCGCGCGCGGTGACGTGTTGAATTGGGGGCAAAGCAGAGTCGCGATAAGAGAGTTCATTCACTTCGAAGACTGACCTATCGACAAGTTTATGCGAATCGATCGTTTATTACTCAATAACATAACTTACGTCATTCATAGTAAAAAAATCTGATGGTTCATTAAAAAGAATTGGATATATTCACAGCAATTTCATGTTTAATAGGATAAATTGCTTATTGATTATCCACCCATACAAGGAGCATACCTTTGTAACTGCAGGGAAGACAAGATTTAATAGCTTTTCGTTACTGGAGCGCCAGGCAATAAAATATTTCGCAATAAAAAAATCGTCCGTTTTCCCGGCTGCACATACATTACTTTCTCTTCGAAGCTAAGCGAGAAGTAAACTAAACGCCTTTCGCATTGAAATCCGGTCTCTATTGATTTATGTTTTGTGAGATTGCCGTATCGGAGCGTGCACGGTGCTTGCATGGAGCGCGTGCTGCAGTGATCGAAGGTGAGAGCCTGGCAGCCGCCGACAACATCGAGCGGATGTAGCGCGTGCGCTGGAAGAGGCGGCGAGGGCTACCGCTGGCGGCCGCCCTCGTGTGGCGAACGCGCTGGCCGCTGCCATTGGTCGACCGCCTCGGACGCCCGACGCCTCGACGCCCGAACGCCCCTCGACGCCCCGCCCACGCCACGCCGTCGCGCGGCGCCTTCGCGGGCTACCGCCAGGGCCAGCAGGCCTTCTCCGCGCCTTGGACCACGCAGTTTCGCACGCTCGTCTACAGGCACCTGCTGCAGTCCTGGCGGGATAAGGTGAGGCTGCTTCGCCCTCACCATTTCATCACTGCTTTTATTACTGTCAATTTTATCAACACACCACCTTTGTCAACACACCAACTCGGTCAGCACACCAACTCGGTCAGCACACCAACTTTGTTAACACACCAACTTAGTCATAGTTCTAGAACCTCCCGGATCAAGACCTTCAAACAAACGACAGCTCTTCTTTTCGTCAAGCTCAATATACCCTTCATTTTCCATTTTACAAATGTCTTTATATTTTCCTAATTTCTTCGTTGCAAAAATTTCTAATTGAAAACCCAAATAATAATATTACTTACTTTTTCCTTTTTCAAATTCCTGATCTTGTTATATTTTAAAAGATTATGTAATCGTTCATCACGTATAAAACACATTCAATTGCCTTTGCATAATATACGAACATTTATTTAATTAACTTTTTCTTTTTTCGCGTCCGTAAGTTCGTGGGAGATCTCAGTAGATTGCTTAACAGAAATCCTACTAACACTGATTCTGTCATGAACATTTTCATGAACGGTGTTATGTCTCTCTGCCAGGGCCATCTCTTCTTGAAGATAGCGATGTACTTCTTCATGTCCCTGATAGTGGGGCTGATGTTCCTAGACTTCGGCCAAGATGGCTCCAAAACCATCTTCAACTTCGGCTTCTGCTACTGCTGCACCATCGCCTGCCAATTTGTGCCCATGCTGCCTGTGCTACTGCAATGTGAGTACTACTTGCAAATGCGAAACCGTAAGCTGGAAAATGAATGTTAATTTATAGGAAAGATGTATCTGGTATTCGATTTAAAATGCCATCGGTTATGATGGCAGTGATTCGATATGTGGCATCTTCCATTTTCACAGCTTGTGTTTAGATTTGAGAACTTTCATGACAATGCAAAGTTACAAACAAGGAAACAAAGAAATGATGAACGAATATCGGAGAATAACCTTCACGCGCATTTCCCAAGCACAGCGCATTACAAGAGCTGGAGCACGGTTATTACTTAAGTGCAAATATCAAATTATCACTTTCCACTTCGTACATGTGTTATACAATTATAACAATTCCATGAAGTATAATTTTGGAGGTACTTGACAAGAAGCCCCTGGGACATTTTCAAAATTAAAAAAAATGGCTCCATCGTTGTTGATTAAATTTTGATGTTGGATAGTGTGAATATAGAATAGTGTAGGTTTCCTTTTCGTGGAACACACTCATTTTTCGAAAATTTCAAAAATTCAAATATTTATGGACGCCTACTATACGCGCAAGTTTTCTTGATATTCCTTAGCAGAGGGTGCGGGGAGAGGGGAGCTTTGGCTACGACGGCTGAAAAGGTCGTACCAACTGTGAGCATGAACTTAACTCGCCAAAGAGTGCCATGAGAAATGCTACGATTGTTTTGGAAGTACGAGGTGGTAGTTGGCATCATTGTAAATTGGTACGTGCCGTTCCGGGTCAATCCTAAGTATCTCAACGTGCCGTGCTGGATGAAGACTAGGGAGCTCGTGTATCAAGAAAACTTGCGCGAGTAATACCTACAGTTACAATGATGCGCACAGAGATTTTCCCCCTTAATTAAAAAAATATGTTCCTTAAAGAAAGTTTTGAAAAGAAGGTCATGTACAATGTTTCGAAATGTGGACTACTTCACGCGTAATTTTGCGCGAAAGCACATGCGAGAAAGTCCGCGCAGTTTGAGCACCGCTGGCCGCGTTGCTTCGCAGACCCGCAGGAGGTGAAGCTGCTGAAGCGCGAGTACTTCAACCGCTGGTACTCCTTCAACGCGTACTTCTTGGCGGCGACGGTGGCGCGCCTGCCGGCGCTGCTGCTCTTCAACTCGCTGTACGTGGGCATCGTGTACGTGATGACGGCGCAGCCCCTCGAACCCATGCGCGCCGCCATCTTCCTGGGCACGTGCCTGCTCATCGCGTCGGCCGCCGAGGGCTGGGGGCTCGCCATCGCCTCCGCACTGTCCATGGTGGTGAGTCTCTTCCTTCCAGTGGCTACCAGGGCCCGGCAACTCTCCATCAAAATCGGGGCAAAGCTCGAGGTGCAGCTGCAGGTTAGGCTCGCCAACTTTCCCACATACAAATTGGCTAATTTGTGAGAAATACGAAAAGTGTCTTCTAAATGTACAATTATTCATAATCTCTACTCGTAAGTAACCTCTGAAGAAGCGCGAACATAGACGTTATCTTATGTAACACTATGGTCCTGCTTGCGACTCACGCACCGTTTAAAGTATCGTTGGCAGCAGTTCCTGTTTTAGTTCCTGTAAAGAAGGTGATGCAGCAGAGAGCGCCACCATAATGGTCTCCACCACGTTATATGGGAGTTATAGGGCCCTGGTGGCTACCAGTGCTCCTCCTCAAGGCCACTAAGGCGGCGCCCACCCCAGATAAATCTACCCCGGGAAAAGTTGCAGAAAGTATTAAACTTGCAATAAATTGACTCGTTTAATCTGTGCATGCCACCTGCGAAATTTGTGAGGACGAATTTAGTTTCATGTGCCCAATTAAGCAGAAGATAAATGGTTTTGGAATGGGTAGCATCGTGGACTATCGGGAGTCCGTCCGTACCTGGCGCATGGGAGGCAATGGAAGCTTGAGAAAGAGTGGGGTATTCAAAGTTGGGTAGTGGCAGCATGCTTCTGTTAGTGTTCCGTTCGGCAGAGCCTGTGGCTCTTAACTAAGCTAAAAATGTCGACTCTTTAAACTGATTTAATAGATTAGTTTCGTTTGCTGGAAATTTTTTTAAAAAAAGTCTCATATTTTCACCTGAGCACAAGTGAATCGTCGGTTACCAACGTAAAAGTTGTCTTAGTCGAGGATTAATATCCCGATACGTGCAAATCGGTTCTGCTCAACCTGCCCTAGTTTTCCTCGTTCAAGAAATATATTGAAGAGGTAAAATAATATATGTGATACTTCGGACATACTTGCTGCCCCTCTTACCCTCCTGCCGCAACGGAAATCATTAAAGTAGTATTTAATAATTGCTACAATCATCGTTTAAGACTCATTCGCAATTAAGACGCAGACGTATACGTGAGTACATACAAAATTCTTAACCCAGACATGGATGTACCCCATTCACAATGACCGTGAACGTAAACATGCACTCATCAGAATAATAACGGATCCATTCAATAAATAATCGACACAGAAATTCTGCATACATTCTGCAAGCAATACAATTGAACGACATTGGGTAGCAAGACGCAATCACGCCAGACACACAATCGGATCAGGGGCGATAAGTGATTCATTGAAGAGTTTCTTGAATAATGAGGATTAGGAATGACAATTTATTCTATTACAAATTGCAGTAGCTTTTACATCACGAAAACGCTACATTTCATTTGGATGTTGTTGCGGAGTTCCAAATAATGTATTCACAAACCACATGTAAATTTAAACGTGAAATATCACTTTTGAAATTTGCCCAGTTACAGAGTTATATTTTACGTTCGTCTTTTCGTTAACGTTCAGAATTGTAAACGTTTCAATCCAATGACACAAAGTTGATCCGATCCGACAGTCCGATAAAAGTTTCTAGTCTCTTGTACAAACACGTCTCGAGAATTGCGTTTGATCTCATGAAGGAACTAAAACCACAAACTTCAACCTCATTCGTTTTTCATAAAATGTTGGACACGATGTTTGTTTCCGAAATTTCTTCCACAAGCGTGAATTTTGTTATCTGATGCACATAAGTTTTTTGTAACGCAGGAGCCAACCTCGCATTGTTGGCACTATTATTCAACATTCAAAAAGCGGTGCAAGAGATTATGGCGTTCAAGAAAACGTGCATATATTATAATTCTCCCCCATATGACGCCTACAGTTTTTACTGTTCTTTGACAAATATAAGTTTAATCAAATCAAGCTTTAGCGTTCACTTATATTTACGATCACGATGAATCAGAGCCACCCAGAGAAAAGCAGTAGCCTGGGGCAGTAAATTAAATAAGGCTTTTAATTTGAATCAAATATGCCCATCTATACGCATATATTTTATTATTGAAAATAGGAACATTTTTGTTAAATATCTTGAAAAAAAATAGTATACCTGAAGTTACATAGCTTAAAAAAATTTGCGAGAATGAAAAAAGAAGAAAAAGTGTTTAAGGAAACCACAGTCTTCTCCAGTTTGTCGGCGATATATCACTTTAGCAAATACATTTTAACGCACTAAATATATCATTCTTTCAGGAAACGGACAATAATTCGGAATGACTATAATTACCGAGACAGCGCAAATACGTCGGCATTGTATCCAAATCATTCTTTGCTTTCAGAAATTTGGATAGAGCGTTATTTGTTACGACAATGGAGTTACAAATGTTGGTTTAACATACATGACAAAACTACTATTAATTGTATGAATTTAATACTTTTGAAATATCCTCTGATTTACAACAATGACACACATTTTCCACTTTTCCACAAACTCACATTTTTTACTAAACGTTTTGTTTGTTGTCACTTTTACATCGCAGCTTGCGGCAAGCTACGTCAAATGACTGCTCCCCTCTCCGTTCGCCAACTGCGTTTCCTTACGAATGAACGTGTATGCACAAACATCATCTTTTGCAGAACGGCATGTTCATCGGGTCGGCGTCGACGGTGCCCTTCATGCTGCTGGCGGTGCAGGGCCTGGGCACGGGGCTGGCGGGGCTGCCCATCCTGACGCGGGTCGCCATGCACTTCTCGTACATGCGCTACGGCCTGGAGGGGCTGGTGCTGGCGGTGTACGGCTTCGGGCGCGGCAAACTGCAGTGCCCGCTGGACGAGGAGTACTGCCCGTACCGCCACCCGAAGCAGATCCTGCGCGAGACCGGGCTGGAGGACGCGTCGTTGCTGCAGGCGTTCGGCGGCCTCGTCGGCTCCTACGTGGCCTTCCGCGCCGTGTCCTACGTGCTGCTGCGCTGGCGACTCTCCACGCGCACCCGCTTCCCCACCATCGCGTACGTGGGGCGCCTCATCAAGCGCCACTTTCGGTGAAAGCCCACACACGCTCCGCTCGGAGACTTTTTTTATCCCGTTCGTGTTACACCACGACGGACCCGACGTCTGCGTAAAACATCGTACAAGGGCTGAATGAGTGGCTAATTTTTTTTTGATGTGGGATGGCACTTCAAGAGATACGTCCAGTGAAGAATCACTCATCCACTGCTTCGATCGAGTTTTTATCCCGTTCGTGTTACACCACGTCGAACCCAACGTCTGCGTAAAACATCACACAGTGAAAGGTTGAATGAGTGTCTAATTTTATTTTTTTGATGTGGGATGGCTCTTCAAGAGACACGTCCAGTGAGGAATCACTCGTCCACTGCCCCGATCGAGTTTTTATCCCGTTCGTGTTACACCACGTCGGACACAACGTCTGCGTAGAACGTCATACAAGGGCTAAATGAGTGTCTAATTTTATTTTTTGATGTGGGATGACTCTTCAAGAGACTCTTCCAGTGAGGAATCACTCATCCACTGAGCCGTTCGAGTTTTTATCCCGTTCGTGTTATTCCAAAGACCGACGCTGGACAGAACGTCTGCGGAGAAAGTCACTCAAGGGCCGAATGTTGGTCTAACTTTATTTTCGGAGGAGGGACAGATCATCAAGAGACACTTCCGACGAGGAGCCACTCATCCTCCATTCCGAAATTTCATCCCGTTCGTGTTATTCCACGCCGACGTAGAACGTTACTTAAGGGTCGAATGACAATCTAATTTTAGTTTTTGATGTGGGTACCTTTCAAGAGACACTTGCGATGGAGAGCCACTCTTACTTGAGTCTGGTGTTTTCTATTCAAGTTATTCCACGTCAGAACGCCGGATCCACCGAACGATTCTCAAGGGCCAAATGGGACACTTCCATTGAACAACATGACTCTGTCGAGTTTATATTCTATTCAATATATCAACCTTTTCAGTGCCTTATTCAACGTTTACGGGGATCAAGGACCGAAATGGAATCAATTTTTTTTCCGAGAATGCCGCAGGAATTGAATCTTCAGATGAGGAGTTACTAACAGTGTGCCTGCCTACGTCAATTTACTCAATACATATCACACATTTCAATTACTAATGAAACGAAATTGCAGAATAAAAGAGAACATGATCAATTTAATGATCAAAATTTCATTACGAAACATGAGGGTTCCTTCACATTAAATGCGGAGCCAATTGTACAATAAATTAAGTCAATGATTTTCGTAAAAGGCTTCAAGAAACAACTAAAGAGCTTAACCCTAGACCAACTTTTGTTTTAAGATGAGGGACAGGAGTCTTGGCAAACGTTAACTGTGATTCTCTAACTATGAAGCGGGTCTCCACGATGGATTTTGTCATGTTTGGCGCTATCAAATGCCCACAGAAAATATGAGCAAGGGCTGATAGTTTGTACAATGATTTAGCGTACGCGTTTTTCTAAAACCTGTCGCTGAAATTGGGCGCTTTATCAACGTGATTCTTTCGACCACTAACGTATTACTGTGATATTTTGACATTCGAGGTTCTCCACTGCTCATTTGAAGTCACGTGTCCAACTCTTCTCTATAGGAAAAACCCAAGGTCTCAACAATAGCTTTCCTTTTTCGGAGTTAGTGTGGAATATTTTATCAAACTTGTGCCTTAGGAAAGCCTCCTAATAGTCTCACTGTGTTTCTTTCGTTATTTGGAGGCAAACTGTCGTTAATGTTATCGCACATTGCAATTTAGACGTCAATTCATTTTAACTCCACCATCGAAACTTTGCCGAAAAATAGTTAAAGTGCTGAATGATGGTCCATTTTTTTGTTAGTGACGTAAAACTCATTGAAAAGGTGGCGTACGAAGAGAAACTTTCACTGTGATTCTTCTCTGTTTTGAGACATTTCCTCTTTTCACTACCGCATACCTAAGCTGTATTATCAGGAAAGTGCAATGAGGAAGCAAGTTACTGTTTGGAGATTTCAACGCCTTTGACCCAAAAGCGTCTCCTTCATTACGCCAATAGTAGGGTAAAAACTCATGTTGACGACCTGTGATATTTTTGATGAGTGTCTAAGAAGAATGAGGTATTCTCTCAAAGAGCTGTACCATCACAATTAATGGTTCATGTTAATGACTGGGACAGGTAGATCTCAAAATATCACGTCTACAGTCTTAAACAGCAGATACTTAAAATAACATATTCCGAGTAGAGATGGCAGTAATATATTGGTTTTCAAAACTTGTATTTTTTAATATGTTGGTATATTAAAAAATACTGTTTCGTTATATTACAACGCATTGTACAATTTTACATATTTTAATTAAAATAATTTAGTTAATAAAATTCACTCATATCGAATATTTCAGAACGATATTGTCATTAAATCTCAAAACATCTACTCATTTTATTGCACAGCAAGTGTTTCATAAGCCAAAGCGGTTCTAAATCTGGTGATGTTAGAATCATATTGGGTTATTTCTTGCGTTGTACTCGTAAATCTAAACTTGGGGTACACTGTTCATTTTACTTCTTTCATTTTCACTTTGGGTTTCATGGAATAGAAACGAGTACTTCGAAATACCACGTACACACGAAAGACGAAAATACTTCAATACATTCTGTTTTATACGTTTTCGTCTTTTGAATTATTGTAAGATCGCTACAACCGATATTTTAGAAAATGTTGTCATACCTTCTTGCGACCATATGTCAAGAAATATAACCTTGCATGTTTTCTGTTGAGAAAAAAGTGAACGAAATTAATCAACTTCATACCCTGATTTCAAAGGTATAAAATGTTCTACACAGTTCTATTAGGCATTTCACAATGGATATCACAACTCACAAATCTTGCCAATAGAATCACGATGGAATTCATAAGGACTAAGATAAAAAAGTGTTGGGAGTTTTCCTTGACTAGTGTGCATGTGTGTGTGTGCTACGTGTGTTTTCATATCAGTGTTTCATACCTGTCGAGAAGCCAATGCTTCACGGTATCACCGTTTGTTATAGTATATATTTAGCAAGCATCCCTTATTGAAACGTAAAACTCATCGGTCAGATAGTGTTCACTTTGCTTCATAGCCTTCTTCAAGAAAGATCCTGGTGAAGGGAAAATGTTGTAAATGTGGTTGAGTAGTACCTTTTGCATTCCAAATATTGTATACAATGTGAAGCATTGCTTAGAGAACGTTTTGTTTTACGGTAGGCTGTCAGTGACAGATGTTTGTATTTTAGAAGCTTCGGAATTGTGCGGCGAGAGATATTTTTTCTTTGAATACTTCTGAGTTTTCTGTAAGATTGCCACCATATACAAAGTTATAGTTATATGCTTAAGATTTATTTAAACTATGATTTTCTAGTTTTAGATGAGCTATTCTTAAGGTTTGTTTGTAGGATCTGGGTAAAATATTGTGTGTTTGTGTTTTTCAGACCAAAGTATTTTGAGATTCCTTGGAAGTGGTTGATATCGGAAGACTAGTGGTCTTTAATGAGAAATTACAAAAGTGAAAATTTTTTGAGAAATATGTTGTTTTTTCACATATTTTTTTCATTTTGATCTCTCTACTTTAAATGTGAATTTTCGATTTCAAATCTGTCAAAATTTGGTGAACAAAAAAGAGATATCATTTTACCAATGAAATAATCTGGTTAAAAAGACAATTTCAACAATAAACCTATTTAGCACAAGTTGACAGGTAATTTAATATTACACGGTAGGAATCCTAGGAAATTCAAGTGCCTTCAATTTATCATGCATTGTTTGGCGCTGAAGGTGGAACCATCATCAACATTAATATGACATTCACTAGCGTTGCGGCAATTCTCAAAGGTGTCGAAGGCTCCATCTCGTATATTCCCTTTCATTCTTTAATCATGAGTATATTCTAACGTATGTGGACAAAAATCCAATGAATTGGATTGAATGAAATATTTTGAACGCCAATTCATTAATGTTTAAAATAAACAAAAACTATTACATTTAAGCAGAGTTGAGGTACTGGTGAAATACCCAATAATCCGCTTATTAAGAATCCACCCATTAATTAAAGAATTAATTCACCTATTTTTTCTAGAATTTGGCTTGTCTGAATATCTATTGAACGAGCGCATAAACGCTGAAATGTTAATTTCTTTAAACACTCTTATTAATTTCCACTTTCAAACTAGTGGGGCTACAAAATTTACAGCACATAATTTCTCTCATTATTCGTAACTGTGCAGCTTACGAAAATTCAGAGAGTATAACGATAATCAGACCTGCGCCAATTTTATTAGCGTACCATTCGACAAAAAAAGGAAAAACCGGAAAAACTGGAATTTTTTAGAAATAATGGTTTTCAAATTGCCTTTATTTCACGCAAAAAATACTTCTATCGTGAAAAAATTGTGCCAGGATTAATTTAAAGCCCTAAATTCAACATCCTGGTTTTATTTCGAAAAAAATCTTTATTTTCAATATTGTCGTTTCAGACGAAAACAATTTACCTTTGGCAAGTTTCGAAAATTTAGTCCAACACCTACTACACCTACGAATTCAGACCAACACCTACGTTGATCAGTCTACGTTGTTCCATCTGCAAAAGAATATTTTTTTAACTGAAGCAGTTTTTGAGAAAATTTTGATAGTGTGATTGAGACTTCACGTGAATTACGCCCCTCCCCAAACTATCCGTATTGAGTGCAAGGGAAAGTGATATCACCCAGTTCGATCAGGGAATACCAATTTTGGAGAAAATCGTTCCTATTCCGGTGGAGTTGTTCGCAGATACCCAGACGTTTCGTCGTAAATCAATTTTTCGGAATCCCCCCAAAAACGTTGAATCTGACTGCATAACGTGTTAGAGAAAAATATAATATAATTTTCTATATATGCGAATACGAATTAACAACTTTCTCAGTATAAGGGACCCACAAAAGGAGCTTTTCTCTCAAAAATCGCCGTTTGTTCTGCATATTTACAATACTCTTTCTTTACTTTCTCTATGAACGTAGACTACGCGAGGAAGTAAAAACTTTAATTGACAGGAATGTGAAGATAACACACAAACGACTGTTCTGGAGAAATGCCGCAAGAACTCATTTTCTATTATTCTGATTTCACAAACAATACTGCTCTCTTACAATCCCCTATAAAGAATGTTATAAGTGATAACTTCAAATACTCTGTTCAAAACATGTAATGTTCTCTTTAATTCCCATATTTGTAAGCTAGAGAGCTGAAGTAGAACTCATCCAATGGCCCTCCAAGAGAGAATTTGTATTTTTATATAATTATACACTCAAGAAGGTGAATGTGATGTACCAGAATTGTAAGGCTAGATATGAAATTAAATATTTACACCAGTATGTGTTATTTTATTTGTCCCCAAAATCCTTACAGCAATAGTGTGATGCTACATTCATTGAATTTTCTGAGGGACGAATTCCAGAGAAGGTTGGCAAAATATATGAAACCATTTGCCTTTCGTAAAAGTTGTCTGTAATACCTATCCAAAATAAATACTCAAATTCCTTTCATAAACAAATATATGTTAATTATTATCTAATATTGACAATGTACTGATATAATCAAATAAAATGTTATCACATTTCAGTGATCACATATATCAAATGTTCAAGAAAATTAACCAAATTGTTTCATCGAGTGGTTTAAAACGAATACAAATGTTTTTCGAAAGCTGCTTGAAGATTTGGTGAGTAATCGTGTCATAAATAAGTCATTGTACACCCACTTTTCAATTATGGAATGAGAGGAAGGGATATTAAATTTCATGGGTAATATTTACAGTCTGTCGTGAGATATAGATGAATCCAATGATCTCAGGAGCGAGAGAGTTCGGAGGATGACCGATGACGATATATACTCTCTGATGATGACCGTAGTGCAAACACCGTTCCTTTGGTTCCAACACAAGAAAATTAGTGTTATTATCAGTAATTATTTTATATATCAATTTTTACAGTATTGTGATCATGGAAATTTTTCATTCTAAAACAAAACATAGGAAAAGAAAAACTCATGGGAAGATGTAGGGAATACATGGAACTCATGACGGACCCTGAATGCCTCTTTGTCACGAACAGAACTTAAACATTCTTATCTTACGCGGGTTCCGATACCACAGCATTATTGTTCACTTACTTCATTCTGCTCACCTGCCGCAACAAACCTGTCTGACGAGGCCAACTCACTTGATAGAGCAATTCATATACATGATATGATTGTGGAAAAAAAAACAACCTAAAACTAAGCATTTTATGGTACGCAACCTATAATGTGCCTTGCAACATTGAATCTATGTATTTGAATGTCACTGACACAATTTTCTTTTGCAACAATGGAAATAAAGTTACATTACCATTAGAATCGCTGTCATCATCGCACTCAAAGCGAGCAATTTTCTCAAAATTCATCATATAGAAAATATTGTGGAATATATTTAGACTACATATCAATGAAAACAATGTGTTTTCTTAAAAAAACACTTTCATTTACCTCCATTTCCTCGACTGTTAATTTATCCAATTTTACTCAATTATCTACAGATTAGAGTCACCAATTTGATGTTGCAGCATGGGAATATAGAATTTGCAGCACTCTTGGCCAGCTCAATAGGAACAAATAACATTTCACAGAACACATTCACCAGATCACATTCCGTGATCACAGAACTGGTATGTCGTAAGTTATGTGTAACTCTGACGCGCTAAATATACGATACGCTAAAGTGATAGCGTTTTTCGCTGTTGTTTATCGTATCGTTGGAACTCGCGCATGCGCAGACGCTGAAAACTGGGTTAAAAGCGTGTAAGCTAAGGTGCTTGATGCTGTGCGAAAACACTGTCTTACTATATTCGTGTCATCGGATCTTGCTTCTTGCTCCACCAAATCTCGCTTATTGTACATTTGGTTTTTGCATCCACTCTCACCTTTGGTGCGAGCTTATTGAGTCAAAACTGAATGGCCTTATACAGGAAGCGATCAACCCACAAACATAAAAGGAAAGTTTTGGCGCTCTCTGAACAATCGACAATTCTTCCTTTCATTCTTACAAAGAATCCAAAGTTGTTGTGTTTTTCTTTACGCCTTTCTCTTCAGGCATAAGTTATACCTGATTCACTGACCTTACATTCCTAGGTTTACAGAAAGCAACTAGTTATATGATTTTCTTTGACGGAATTATGAAGAACTCATGTACACTAATATACATCCCAAGATACAGATCTCATTTTCAGTGTGCATACCTACTGCTGAATTTCAAGATCTCTCTCCATTTTCAAATCTATTTCCAACCACCTTCACTGTTATGACTTAAATGTTTCATAAATATCGCAATTCAATTGAATCGGGCTGAGAAGAATCGAAAGAGGTCATTTTTTGCAACTATTCAGGAGGAAGGAAACCTTAAATAATACTCACACATATTATATAATCCTGTCCAATTTGTGTACGTGAATTCGCTACCACAGCCTAAACACTGTCATGACGTGGCTCCTTTCTTCACAGTGCAATTTTGCCTTCAAGAACAACTTTCCAAAATAAAAATAAAAATTTAAAAAATGACTATGTTCCCTTCTCCTCAGGCTTATTCAATTACTTCTCAACGTCACCCCTTTCCCCATGACAGTTGAAAGGTGAGCCTCCATTCTTTGAGTCATATGATTAAAATTGAGCACTTGATTCTAAGCAATTGCTCCGTAGCAATGCGAGTCTAGTCCATGATTCTGAGTAAAAGCTTAATTTCGTATGAATAAAAACTTCGTATGCCTGCGAAGAATTTGCTCGTGTCTCGCGAGCATTTGCTCGTTGTGAACAAGTGATAGTGCAGGCTAAGAGTTTTAAAAAATTGGTTTCCTCAGTAACAGAGGTTACATACGTTACTGAGTTTGCGTGGAGCATAGAGCAATGTTTTGTTGTCTCTTCTTTAAATTCGAATATGAGTAGCAGTAACTCATAACAGGCTGAAATTCTACGCGAATATAAAATTATTTTTGAAAAGAGCCTGCTTCCGGAGGTACGTTGTAGCCGAAACGAAGCATTACAAAGTTTGAAAAAACAGTACCCCGAACAATTTCGAGTAGAAAAGAGCGATGGCTAATTAATATTGAAGATATGCAACATGAAAACGCGTCTGAAAGCAAACGCCGATAAAATCGTACCAACCATAGATAGTCCTTTTCGAATCGGTAAAGATTCTTATAGCCTGCATCACAAGAATCTCGCCTTATCTTTTTTTTAAAGTTCGCTGCATGTGCATGTGAAACGCGGCCAATTTAACCTTCCATTTGAAACGTGCGCCTGCTACTAAGGTCCCTCCGAAATTTTGGAGCAAGTGCTCAATCCAAACGCTTAACTTTGTTCATACCAATTCTGAGGATTTGCTCGCCAGTTACGAGTACGCTCAGGGACGGATCTAGTGCTCAGAGACTGATTAATTGCTTCCCCACTTTATTCCTACGAAACTGAGAAGGATCCCCGAAATTGGGAGCAAAAAGTAATTGCTTACTTTTATTCATTCCACCCAACCCTTCACCAGAGGTATGCACGCAGTCCCTGGCAGTCCCCTCCGCGCTGTTCCACGCTTCACCGCGCCGCGGCAGCCCTAGCCCCCCGCGAGCTATTCAACTTTCATTAGCGGCGTCCGCGACTGCCGCCCCTCCCCCCTCCCCCCGGCCCCGCTTACGCAATTCCTCCGCGACCTCACTGCGGCCAAGGCCACGGACGCCTAGCGTAGGACATTGCTTCCTAGAAACGCGCTAGGATAGGATCATTTGCCACCCGTTTATTATTACGTGTGTGGTGAGTGTCATTTTCATTTTTTGGGTCGCAGCCAACGAGGAAGAGTGCACTAGAAGGGGTCGTCCATAAATTACGTAACGCTGAAGAGGGGGGAGGGGATTTGAGGAAGAGTTACGCTGCTTTACGTAGGATTAGGGAGGTCATAGTTTAGTGTTACGTGATGCCGACATTTATTTTTTAAATCTTTCAATATTTGCTGAAATAATTCCCTTTATTAAGTCTTATACTAAATCATTACCATATTAACAAATTAAATTAAAAAATATAATAAATTAAATAATGTATATTCTATGAATCGTTGCAATAAATATATTTTCATCAATGAAATATTGATTGAATTTTTTGGATTGCGAAGAAAATATTCAAAACGAATCCATAGTATATTCTAGACTCCAATTGGTTGACGCAGTAGATTCGGAGTCTATGCGTCATCCACGACGGAGTGTCCTCGTCTTGACAGAAATTTTATCGCCTACGCGACCTTCCTTCATTTAAAAACAATTTCCCCAAACTCATTGCCCCACCAACTAATTCTCACGTTAATTATAACAAATTTAAATGTATAATACATATAAAATTATTACCCTTCGTTTCTGCTTTAAAATTGAGTTTTAATTATTGGAATTGGGGAGGGGGCTTGACGCAAGCGTTATGTAATTATTAGAGGAGGGTTCAAGAGCGCGTTGCAGATGCGTTACAGGGAGGTTTTCAAAATACTCCAAATTTGCGTTACGTAATTAACGGATGACCCCTAAGTCCTTCCCAATTCAGGGCAGGTGGTCACAGACGTTTTGCCTTTACCTAGCACTGCTTAAAGGATTCGTTCCTCTAGTAATTAAAATGACTTACTTCCTCATTTGTCAGATTAAGAACATAGACTAAGATGGCTAAGTGACATCATCCGTTGCCTGACTGGGAGGTTCTCGAGTTCGAGTCCCGACGGAGGTGGATTTTCGTCACTACGTAGAATTCAGCCGCTGTCTGGAGGATATTCTAGCATCCGGTTTCTCTGACAGGTAGTGTCCCGTGATCAATACCAGGCGGAACGCTGGAGCAGAGCTCTAACAAATTCAGTACCGCAAGCGATCTTTTCTTCCTAATCCTTGTCTCCTCTTTCCTCTTACAGATACTTCCACTTACGTGCACTGCACTATTACAAATGTCGGGAGACTATTCGGCAGCTTAGAGCTTGTTCTGGGTGGGGCGGAGCCAAAGCTGACGCGTGCCCGGAAACACGAAATACTTGCTCCACTCGATCCACACTCTCCACTCGCTTCACTCGCTTCACTCGCTCCACTCGCTCCACTCGATCCACTCGCTCCACTCGCTTCACTCGATCCACTCGCTCCACTCGACCCACCCGTCTCACGTCACTCGTCTCACTCACACTGAGCATGCGCGAGGTTAGAGGTCTGCACCTTAATAAATTTCCCATAACTGGATGAAGGATGAAGAATGATGGCCATGAAACGTAATGACTATATGGATGGTGTGATGTTTATTATATCGTAGATGATGTTGACGACAATAGCACTCGTCAATCAAGCATGATCCGGTTGGGGCGAAGGAAGTACCTGGAGAAGCATCTTGAAGAACCCGAAGACAACCCCACAATACGTGTAGGTCGGTATCGAATCTCACGTTCCACTGTACTCCGACATTTGTGCCAGGTGTAGTGCATGCACACTATATGATCAGAAGTAACCGGAGATTACCACAACATAACACCATTTCGGGAGCGCTTTTCATGCAAGGGGCTTGCACTCCTTGTGGTTTTGTGTGGCACTATCACGGCACAGGTCTACGTTGAGGTATTAATCATCATCTTGCTTCCCACTGATGAATAGCAATTTGAGGATGGCGATTGCAACTTTCAACACGATCGCTCGAGCGCGTCGACCTGTTCATACTGCACACCCTGCGGCATGACAGTAACATCTCTATAATGTGCTGGCCTACACAGAGTGCTAACTTGAATCACCTTTGGGCGACCTAACAATCACCTTAAGGATGTTTTGGAACGCCGACTTCGTGCCAGGTCTCACCAACCTACATCGATACCTCTCCTCAGTGCAGCACTCCTTGAAGAAAGTGCTGCCATTCCCCAAGAAACCTTCCAGGACCTGATTGGAAGCATGCCTGCGAGAGTGGAAGCTCTCATCTAGGCTAGGGGGGGGGGGCAACACCCTATTGAATTCCCGCGTTACCGATGGAGGGCGCCACAAATTGCTAAGTCATTTTCAGCCACGTGTCCGGATACTTTTGATCACATAGTGTAAGTGTAAATGTAGTGTATTTAAGCGCAGTGGGAAGATGTGGATGAGAATGGAAAAATTGAGTGTGCGCCATGAAACATTTCTTAGGGTACTCGCCGGCATTTGCCAGGTATTAATTATAAGAATCACGAAAAACTGCCGAACCGAGCAGCCAGCGCGGCGGCAAGAATTCTCCTTCACACAGTGAAGGAGAATGCACACATTCACAAATGAATTTACATAAAGTACGGAAGACTCAAGGTAGACCTCGGTAGTTCGTTGGTTAGCGAGCTCACTTTCCATAGCGCAACCCCGGGGTCGATTCCCGGTCAGGGCAAAAATTAATTGTGCTCTTTCCTTGAAATACCCCAAAATATGTTGATGTGTGACGACGAGAAAGCTCACTACTCAGGTTGAGAATTCCAGAAATACAGCGTAGGAATGGCTATATGCTAAACACACGTATACTTTAACCCATGGCCGCAAGGCCAGAACGCTGCTGGTAGGCCTTAGTTCATAAAGAGCTGTTGTGCCAAAGTACATACATACCTACATACGATAGACTCACGAAATTATCACTGCCACAAATTATGATACATTCTTCTTGCAAATCGTTGCGTCATGTAATTAGGTAATGAAGTCACCATGACCACAGCGAGAATAATCAGCAACGCTACGCATCGTGATGTAACGCTAATTTCTTTGGAGAGGTAAGTCACCAACAGAATGGGTGGGCTCTTTTTTTCTTGTTTTGAGAAGCGCTTCGTCTGTTCTCGCAATATTAATCTTAAAGGAAGTGAATTCATTTGCAAATGATTCACTCATATCCAAATTCTCCGTGAAATAGAGAGTCGCTGTGCAGAAAAAGCGATACTCCATTTCCATAAAGCAAACTGTTGTCCGAAAGAATCTAATTAAAGAGTATTCGTACGTCATAGCATCAAGTCTTTTTGACACAAACAATACGCGCAACGGTAGAACCATGGCTAACTTGAATGAATTGGCCTAGAGGAAACTGTAGCAAAGCGTTTTCACTACTGTGTAGTCCATGTTACCAGCGAATGCAAAATGAACAATTTACGTATTGTATACTATGACTAATTATCATGGTTCAAATACCGTGAAATAGTTTGACTCAAATTTGTTGTCTCCTAATGCGTGCAGATGGTGAATATGTAGATATTATCCACCACACAAATTTGTTGTAGAAAGGGCCTTCCTTTCTTTTACGTAATTCATTACTTGGAGCATTAACAGAGAAATCTCAACGGTATGCACGGGAATTTCTGTTGTTGTTTTTTTAATTAAGTAAACTCGAAATAATTGTCTATGATTTTGAAGTAATTGTGTAACATGAGTGTGTGTAATTGTGTAATAGGAGTAACTTAATATTTAATTGTTTAAACGGAGTAACTATCAATCGTTCAGCTTGAAAATAGTTTTCATAAGATAAAATCGATTGTTATAGAAGATTCTTTAAAAAAAGTCGCAAAACTATCCAACGTACTGGCATTTGTCAAAGCCAGTATACCAATGATATCAATAAGCTATCATCAATATTAATTGAATAATTTAAGTTCATAAATACCGTTAAACAAAAAGTTTAACTTATAGTAATAAGAAATTAGTGGGGATACATCAGGATATACTTTTCCACAATATATTTTAACTTTTGCAATTTTTGCAAAAATTGATAGTATACAATAAAAAATGACCTACACCATTTTTTTAAGGTCCCGAACTTTGTACACGAAAGAGGTACATGAAAAGTAGCGCAAAATATCGAAATATCCATTTCAAATTCGCAGTCAGACGTTTTGCCGGCAATTGATTTTTCAGTATCAAGACCTCTCAAAATGTATATTATGATTACGCAACGTGTTGGAGGAAGTAATTTACTACACTTAGGAATAAGATTTATCCATTTTCAATAACAGGTCGAACGAATACGAATGTTTCTGTGGAAAAATCGCGGTAGCATTACAATACTTTTTTACTACGTAGGTAATACGTCGATAAAGTAACACATGTGTGATGCCGAAAAAAATTGAGGAAAATAACGCTAATTGTTATGCTAATTTCTAGAATAAAAGTAAATACTTACTGCCCAGACCAAAATATCAATTACAACACAAAATTGATGAATTTGCCGAACTAAAAAATACGAACATGTTTCTCAAAGTTAATGAATTTGTTCGATAAGGATTGGGCCACAAAATAATTTGCATTTCCACATTCATCGTTCTCTTACGGTATTTTCCAAGACTCTGTTATTTTTAATGGATGCATATTTCTTCATTGATTTTTCACATAAGTTTATACTGTTAATGATAAATACGCATGTGTCACCAACTAATGAAAGATTCAGAAAGAAAAGTTCTAGAGAAAAAACAGAGAATTACTGGATTTCATTTCTACAATCATACGTTATAGAGTTTCAATACATTCTATTAATAGATTTTCTTGTGCGTGCTGATACAAAGTTGAGATCGGCTGATATTTACCTTAAATATTCGCCATAACTTCCAAGAGACTATATTTTGTTCTTTGTTTGAAGTTAACAGGTATGATCCATGTTACTAAATAATAGTTGAATATGTGCAATTGATTCTAGTCACCCGCAACGTTATTGAAAAACTGGGAGTGAGTGGTTCACTAAGCTATTACTCAACAAATGTTGATATTTTTACGAAAAGCACGACAAGTCGTATTTTAAAAATCTAAAGTAGATTGAAAAAATATTCAGAATTAAATAGGTCTTCAATCTTGAAAGTGTATAACATATTTGAAATTTGCAATTTTCAAAATTTCAAAGGTCTAAATAAAAATGCGAATTATAAATTCACTTTCCTCAATTCTGAAAAAAATAGACAAAATAGAGAGAAAAAAAAGATATGCAGCCGCTTTTCACGAAAGTTAAAACTATCAAAAGGGTTTCGTCTAAAGTATCCCCAAAATTATAATTTCATAATGGTCTCAAGAACGGGACAAACATAACTCCTTCCTCCTTTACGTGCTTACTTAAAAGCATATAATCTGACAGAGGTGTGTGTGTGTCACCATCATTTATACAGACATCGTGATTTGGGGTACTATTATGTACATACATCCGCCTCTACAAATCTTAGCCGTCTTTGGAACAGTTCTAATGCCGGTTAATCCTGACTGTGTGAAATTACAACCTAAGTGAGCCTAATTCACGGATTTTAGAACCAAAAATGCGAGATCTTATTGTTGAGGTGATTGCAATACTTTTCATCCAAGTACAGTAATATAGGGAGGGATAATGTTCAAACGGTACGCTGCATTTGTACATACAACGCCATCTACAAGCATAAAATTTAAACTCCACAGTTAGAGCTTGAGGCAGTAGCCGCCAGTGCAAAGGCTGTTCAGTTAGTTGCTCCTTCAATGCACAGATGGCAGCTCACACACACTAGTTAACAATGGCGGGAAATACGAAGAGCTTGGTAGCTCAGCAACGTGCTGGGACAGCGTGCCCTGCAGTCCGGCCCGACAGTATCGCAAAGCGTTATAAGCCTGCAATTGCATGCTCAGGCTTCTTTTTGAAGAAAAAGTGGCGATTGCGCGTACAAATCGGAAGGTATGGTTAGTTCAACTATTAAAATATTTATGTTACTGGCAAGGAAATAAATATTACTTTTATTTAGAAATATTAAACAGCGTACGTTTTACCTTCAATATCTCGGTAATTCTGACGCGTTTTCCTTACCTTCATGTAGTCGTAGTTACTGCGACTTCCATATGCCAAGAAAAATTAAATCCATTTCCTGTGAAAGAAAAAAAACACCTTTAATATTTTCGGTTTAAAAATAAATAGCAATAGCCGTGCACGCTATGCGATACCTTGAAGCGTGCCTTTCGCATGTGTGGACAATGCAATGAGTGACTACATATGCTGATGATTATAAATAAGAATTTTTACTGAATTAGTAGGTCTTGGTAAGGCTATTGGCCGTTTGCAGAACGGTTTTGATAAAAGTTGTGTGAATGACGATAAACGACACCTGACATTAGCCATGTGTGCTGGATAAAGTAACCTGACCGCCCAAGTGCGATGAGTGTTGTGTGCTCGTGAGTATTTTGACTATGTATGTATGTATGTATGCATATACTTGGCGCGACAGCCTTGAACGGGCTCAGGCCTACCGGCGACGTCCCTGCCTCGCGGCCATGGGTTAATGGGGTACGTGTGGTTAGCGTGTAGTCATCCCCACGCTGTATTTGGGTGATTTCAACCTGAGAAGTGAATTTTCTCATTGTCACACAGCAACATATATTGGGACATTGCAAGTAAAACGTAAATCAATTATATTGCGGCGTTGGTAATTCTAAGTTGCTACACAGACTCAAGATTGTTATACGTAAGCACACGAAAGCCTCCGCGGCTCGAATCCATAAATTCTCGGCTATCCGGGAGACGCCGCGTCGTTGGCTGAGAGGCCGACGTTTCGCCTGACATGTCGCAGGCTTCCTCAGGGCGGTGAGGCAGTCACACCTCACAAAACCTCTGCCTGTGCCAGTGCAGTGAGGCAGATAACCAAGAATTTATTATTATACGTAAATCGCCTCCGCCTTCAGCCTCGTCTCCACAACTCGGAATTGCGGAGCGAAGCGTCAACTGAAGTATCCAGTGAGGTTAGATTAAGTTAGGAGGTAACCACTAAAAATAAATTTACGACTGCAAAACTTGAAACACACCTGGGTTCTCTCTAGACTTAGAAACTTCCCCCAGCATTTGATTACGTAACACATTCTTAATGCCTTCCAAGCATTTAATTACACTTTTTTCTTCAAAAGATCCTGGAAAAATGAATCCTTTAGAAACGAATTCACGGCTTTCACTTTTCTGGGCCAGCGATAAACTTTTCCTCAAATGTCATAAAACCATGAAACAACAATTATTAGATTAATCACAACAATTAATTCAATTATACTGGGTGAATTATTATCGGTCATCATGGGATTGTGGGTCAATTATCTGCATGTTGATCGGATTTGTCGACAATTTTTCATTTATTTACTGTGTAAATGACCCTACAGATTGCTTAGTGAGATTGCTTATAGAATGTTTATGCAGTTTCACTATGCGCACCTTTTGTTGAGCCCGCTTTTTTTGATAGTTGTGGTAGGAGTAGGACTGGCGGTGTTATTTCGCCATCTCTAATATAAATCAAAGTTTTAGTTATTATTTGCAAGCACAAATGTATAGTTTTCAAATAAAGCAAACTTTGCTGCGTTTGTACATTTATTCATCATTCAACTGTTTATCGTGTATGAGATGGGATAATGCTCACAACACTAATGTTCCAGTCACATTCAATAAACCAAAAATGTAAGAAATATTATATCTTCATAATATTTTGGTATCTCGTAAATTACTTTCACGTCATTTAGAAGAATGAATCTGGAAAATGAAAAACTGGGGTATCTCAGGTATCAATGGTCGCCGACTAACAAACCTATGTTTGCAAACTTATACAAGTTGTACTACTTGCTTTATCTGCGAAAGGGTTAGAATAAATTACTTACAAAAGGTTTTTAAAAGGTAGCACGCAAACTGCGCCAAAAGTACTGTCGAATGTCACTGCTCTAAAGTAAATATTTTAACAAAAACATTCGTATATTCGAAATTAGTTATATAGATGTTTTTATTTTTTCCCCAGTTGCTGGGTATCTAATAAAACCGCAGACACGTCACAAAAGATCGCAGGCTTCATATTTCTCTTAGAATTTCTGCACGTATTGGAAATAACTAATACACTAGTGACTTGCGGTATCAAAAATGCAGGTGAAAAAAACTACATTTTTTTCGTAAAAATAGTACATGCACAAGTAAATTAAATATTTTATAAAAAAGCCATTACGATTACTGCAATAATGTAACGTACGAGTACTTGTATAATAGAACTGTTATTTACAAACTAAGAATATAAAAAATGTTATTGCTAATTACTCAACACATAAATAGCACATAGTTAATAGCGGACAGTCTCTTCCTTCGAGCCTATCTTTCGCATGACAGAAGTGTCAGAAGTAGTTGCTCGGAAGTATAGTTAGTCGGAAGAAGTCTAAATAGCCCCGATTTGTTCCATAACACGAAGCTTCTACAGATGGCATTGCTGTAGATGCGAAAACAATCCAAACAACTGAATGTGCAGTGTCGGATAATACAAACGTATTTCTTTGCGAGAAGATTTTTCCTGTTTGAGAGTTTTGCCATGGATCGAAGTTTTCAAATGCCACGAGCGCTTGTGTCCAACATCAATTCGTCTTTGCCGTTGCCGTGTACGTACATTTAGCACTTGCGCCAAACTCTCAATTCCAGCAGGTGCGCCCCCTGGAGGTAAACCCCAGTTACTCTCTTCGCCACAAATTTAGTTAAACTATTTCTTATATTTTAGTAACGTAGGACTCGTAGTTTGTAGTCCTCTGTGAAATGAAAAGGAACTAGCGGTATTTTTTACATAGCTTAATGTGAATAACATAAGCTTTTTTATATAGCTTTATTAATGAAAATATTCATATGACGTTTGTAGTCTTTCATCACATTAGAAATGAGTCAAATGAATTGAATTAAGAATATTTAAGATTTGCCATTGTAACGGGTCAGTAATCCAAATTCTTGAAGAATACAATTAAAATGTTTCAAATAGAATGTCTTATTAACTTTTCAGAAGTGTCAATTGTTTATATTGAAGTGCTCACACAAATTCTACGACGTTAGGTAAAAGACGAGTAAGTCATAAACCGCATTTTCTCGTGACAAGCAAATTTACGCGTCCCTTCATTACGGCGCAAAACTGACTCGAATTAACTTAAAACTGGCGTATTAACCTGATTAACATTAATAGGATACTAGAGTCATTTTAGTCAGTATTGTCAAGCAATGCTGGAAATAAACACTTATTTGCTTTTCCTTAATAACCGAGTTTATGGCTCATTCGAATTATTCCTTACGAAATTAAAAATCATCATAGACTGTCATGGAATTCTGTTACGTTTTCTTTTTAGTCTCACATTTTTTGAAAAAATAAAACCATATAGACATGCACATACTTTGCGTTTTTTATTACAACAAATTCTATTTCCTAATTATCACCAAAGGTTGTCTTTAAGCAATCACTATTTATCACCTTTAAGCAATTGCGAAAAGTCATCGATTTGATATATTAATAGATAGATATTAAATATTTATTATTTCTCTAAGTAGTTCTTTGAAATCTGGTGGCAGAACAGTAGAATTTACGTACGACTAAAGACATTTATAAACTAATATAATATGACTTAATTTTTTTGTAATAGTATAAATAATGATCTTGGTGGTAATAATATTAATAATAAGAATAATAATAGCAATAATTATAAATTTTAGACTACACTACATAGTTATTTTTAAACATTTACACGTGATATTCTAGGTACTCAATAATAATTATAAACAATGGATAACACAAAAAGATTACTACATAATAAGAATAATAAAATATTAATAACAATAAAACCAAATATTTGTCTACCGTACATAAATATTTTAACACATTAAACATGTGAATTTCTAACTTC